TATAATCAAAAATTTGGAGTTGGGATAACCTCCAAACCAAAGCCGATAGCTACCTTTTTAAAAGCTCATTATGGTTAAATGTTTCCAAAATGTTTATATTCCGAGGTAGATTGCTGGCAACAGCCGTTTTAGTATAGTTCAGATTTGGTTTTATGACTTTGGAGTCCTCTTCACTACTCCTAACGTTTCACAGATTTAGGAGCTAATTTTAGCGCTAAAACGCTTTGTGAAATACTCTTAGAACAAAAATTTAGGAGTCCTAAATGTAGGACTGACACGCCCATTATTTTAATTGAGAATACATATGAATGTTTGTTTTCTTACTTCCCGGCCGTTATATCCACTTTGAGGGATTGAGAATATCTGAGGTGGCAAAGAGAATCTAGAGGGACCGTTGTTAATGATTTCTAACAATTTGCTTTTTTACATTTCTTTGTACATTTATTTATTTATTTCTAATTATGGCAGGATTGGCATTCCATAGATCACCACTTCCGATCAAATTTAGGAGAAGCAGGTGGTGCTCAAATATCCGCCCACCTTAAACAAGAATTCGCATCAGGTGTGTTTTGCGTTTTTAATATTTTTAAAAAGTAATTTATGAAGCCACTTTAATCTGTATCACATAAAAACTTGTTATTAATTGTTATATTACAATCCTGCCACATTCAAAAAGCTTATTTTTTTGTAAATAAAAAGCCTGACAATGTCACTGCTTAATACCTATAAGTATTGTGATTTATGTTTTACTTTGCCAATCTTTATAGGACAACTAAACTATCAATTTAAAAAAAAAATTACCGTCAACTACATACGTTGCATCCATCGATTCCGCCATGTTTCTCATTGACACGCCCCCAACTCGGAAACTCGGGGCTTAAAGTAAATTTCGAGTTTCCCACTCGTAATAACGACTTTGTGGTGGGGTTTGTGTGCGTTCAACTCGACATGACTTGAACGCACCATAATAAACCAGTCGGATGGTTTGCTGTGAGCTGGTTTTCCAGATCTCCATGGCATCCAACCGAAATGCATCCAAAACCAGCAAATAGACCTGCCTTACCATTGTGATCAACTAGAAACAAACAACTTCCCAAAAAAATACGTGCATCTTGGCATAATGGATAATACTTTAAAAGTGTATTGTACGTTTGAAAAGATTCTCCTATTAGGGCTGTACAAAACATGTTCTATTAATCCAAATAAAAAATGAAAATATTTGAATATCTGAAATAATTTGCTGGCTGCCACCTTATGGTACAATATTGGATCGTGCTGTGGAGTTAAGAATAAAACAGATTTCGTTTATAAAATATTTTATTTATCTTCCTGAACAAAATCCCCCTGCCACATCTGAACAGAATTCCTATTTTATACAGTATAATACAATGTTCCTACAATTCTGAAAAAGAGAGTAAAGCGGGGCACACACTTGTCTTCAATTGCAGTTGATCTTGACAACATCTTTAAACCAAGAGCCTAGATCTCAGAACACATGGGTAACATCATTCTGATGCAGCGGTAACTTTACACGTACAATATACACATATAGGCAACTGAGCTTCAAGGGCTAAAAAATGTAATAAGAATTTATTTTAGACTAATATTTAATGTAAACAATCTTAAAGCCATAAGTATCACTCATGCTTGTCATTAATGAAAGTGTTTCCTTAAGGTTTAATGTACCTACTATTCACTTTAATGGTCCCTGTTATCTCTACCTAATGTACAAACAAGTCATTTTTGCAGAATGACGTGTTAGAGAATGTCATATTATGAAATCTTTCATTATAAGAGTCCTGATACAGGCTTCATTACATGGGAAACAATCTGACATAACAAATGGCTAAATAAAAAGAGAAATGTATTCCAGTTGACATATTACTCAACAAATGTAAAGCATGAGCAGCATTCCTAAAGTAACTGCTATAAGACTAAATCCACACATTAGTGTGCATGATATACAAGAAACCACCAAAGATGAGCGGATCACATCCTTGTGTTGAAAACAGAATATTTTAAAGAATATAAAGACACTTTATTACGTCTCTCAGTAAGGGATTAAACATAAATTGAGACTGAAACAGGAGGAGAATTAATAGGAATAAAACCAAATATTTTATCTTGTGTGCAGTTTGTAGTAAAGCTAATAAATGGATCAAAATCTGTGTGGTAAACTACTCGGTTTAAATTACAGCATGTCAACACATAGATGGTACACAGACCTATGTAAACAGCACAAGTTAGGCATTAGACAGACATGCAACCACAAATACTTCACAAACATTGGTCCTTTAGCCTCACATTACAGCTTTTCTTTCTTAAGGACACTTAAGAATATACGCAAGTCACTGTCCAGCTGAGAACTGACTCGTTTGTGAATGGATTGAGAGCTGAGGACTGACTTTGAATGAGTAACAATGGGTGTTTTGCAACTGTAACATGATTTGCTTTGATCATAAGCTAATCAAATCAAGTTAATATTGATTAAATATGTAAAGTTAAAGGTCTCTGATGGGCTCTAAAGGCCTTTTCAATTTTTGTTTCTCAACCAATCGCCTCGCCTAATTCCCAACCGCTATTAAGCATCATGATGAATTAGATCAAAGGTAAACATCAAAGCTCTGATAGAGGCTAACCAGCTTGAAAGGTGCACAAAGACACCATGTTGGGAATCCCAACCCTCTCTGTGTGACACGAGTGAAAACAGGGTTTCTGTACGCACAGCTGAGTCCGACATCGAAAGCCCTCATACATGACAAAGACAGATGCCCCGTGAACCCCCACAGTGCGTGCAGCCATATCCATTCCAGATCCCTACAGGACTGACACTACACACCTGCAAAAACTCCACTTTTTGTCAGATAAAGACTTGACATAAAACAGGGAGACAAAAATAAAAGAACTCGAGAATCACACTCCAAAATGCAATTACTTATTAATAAGCGGCCACATTCTTGGCCTCTACATGAGGTCAGTTTAGGGTTCAAAATTTTGAGGTCAGTAAGTTTTTTAATAAGAAATTCTGCTTAACATCATGGGAATAACTTACATTTTAAAATATATTAAAATAGAAAAGTTATTTTAAATTGTAATAATATTTCACAAAATTACTGTTTTTACTGTATTTTTGATCAAATAAATGCAGCTTGGTGAATATAAAAGCCTTCTTCCAAAAACATTACAAATATTACTGAATCCAAACTTTTGAACAGGAGTGTAGTTAAACAAAAACCTGCAACTGTTTAGGGTTATGGTCACACACACATAAAAAAACAGATCACATCCTCTTTAACTTGACATACTAACCCTGATCACATGTCTGAGAGTGTTGCAATAGTGTTGGCTCTGATAAACAGAACTCTCTCAATAATATACCGCAATATCCGTTCTATCACTTTAATGATCATCATTAACTGCAAATCTAATCGGTGCAAAACTCCTCTTTTTGTTTAATAACCAAAGATATATGTGGCAGGATTGCTTCATTTTAGCACATTTAGAAAGACCCCATTCAGATAATCAAGATTGAGTTTGTTAACAAAACTTCAGAGCTTTAAAAATCTCACAAAACTGGAGAAAAGGTGGTGGGTGCAGGAAGTAAGACAACAAAAGTTACAAAACAAAAACTCCTCTATTGTAGTCGCCCTAAAGCAGGATGACAGGACAATTCTTCAGTTCCGGCTAGTCGAGTGTGGCGGAGGAGAAAGGCTCCGCTTTTTTTTGGCCAAACCCACAAGTAGTGCGTGCAGTCTATGGAATGCAGGAACTTCACTGAGGGAAGGTCATTTCCAGTTGGGTGGGTCGATGGTGCCAGATCGTAATGCTGGTGACAACACCGTGTGTAGCTGGTAGTGAGGGGCGGTCCTGTATTTGCATTCCACGCAAAACCACACGGTCACTCCAACAAACAATCGTCAGGTTTCCTGTTGAAGAGGCACTACTGGCCCCCATTGTAAGCGTAGTCTGCCTTGTTGTGCATGATGAGTTTGTTGTCCACAAAGTAGAAACTGTCTGATCTGGTCTCATACGGGTGCTCAATCATCAATCGAACTGCAGGAGACAAAGAAACGCCACAGCACAGCGTGTTACATGGCACTTTAACAAATGAACACAGACATGTAATGCACTCTTCTCTATCTGAGCACTGGTAAGAGAAGGAGGTCTGAAATTTGATACAAGCCTGACAGGACGAGTGAGATGTCAGACAGAGTAAGGTCAATATGGTACCAGTAAAGCAATCGGTTACTCTTTTGTGCCAAATGTCCTCTCTCACCCTTCCTCTTTTGAGGGGAAAAAAAAAGTTTAGTATTAATTCAACGTGGTAGTTTGTTTTCTCAGATTATAGAATAATTATAAAATTATATAAATTATAATATTACAGATAATATATTACAATTCTAAATGATATTGTATTATAAATTGTAATTATAATGGTAATATTACAGATTATACTGTCAACCCCTCCAGATGTACATTGCAAAAAATAATTTTCATACAGTTTATTTGTCTTTTTTCTACAATACAAATATATAAAAAAAATTCAATATATATTTACTTGAGTAGCAAAATTATTTAAAATCTTAAATCAAATTTAGTTGAGTTTCTACTTGAAACTAGAAAAATATTTGTCAATGGGGTAAAAAACTTTTCCCTTTGAATGACTGATTTATTAAATATCTAAAAGATATAGTATATTCATTAAAGGCGTATACAGTTGAGTTTATAATTAAAACAAATTAAATGAAGAAAATCTTTTTTATTTGCGCAGTGTATAATAAATAACCTGTTAAATTTAATAAAATAAAATAAAGTAAAGGTAAAACAAACAAAAAAAACCAGCATGTTTGGTTTAATAGCATAAAGAACCGTTATATTCATTAAAGGACTATATAGTTAGTTCAAATAGTAACCAGAACACTCACTGAGGTCATCTGGGAGCTGAGGAAACTCGTAAATATGTTCACACGTGTTCCGGCTGTTCGGGATACAGAAGCCAAAGTCAAAGTCGAAACTCTTCAGGAGGCGATCTTGAAAATAATGCCTCTCAATCATTCTGAAATTGGTAACAGGTCGATCGCCAACTGTGAACTCCACCCTGAGAGAGTAAGAAAGGAGAAAAGAGACATTACTCTACATAGCAATACACATGATCAAATCATGCAATAAAAACCCATTCAGATCAGTTGGTCTGTAACTAAACAAGAGCTTTATGACTTTCAAAAAAGACAACATGACAATCAACTACATAGACTGAAGTCTGCTCACGTTTACAGCAAAACTGAAGGAATTACTGAAGCCAAATCATGATTTATTCATGATTTCTGTGGGATTTGGCTAATAACATTGCTCAAGAGTTGCAGCAGATGACACAAGCTCCTTTGTTTCAAAACATAAGAGCTGGTCAACACAATTTCAGACCCTCCAAGGTTTGTTTACACAGCAGAATGCACATGGCCATGCTTATTAGAGACTTACGTGGCTCCGACTGTGCATAACTTAAGGAACGCAGGTGTGAACTGGTAACGGACGAAGCGCCCGGCACTGGTGTCAACCTCTCCGTTTTCCTCATCCTCCTCATCAAGATCTGAATGCAACAGTTTGAGATCGAATGTAAGAGTCGGGGCTATTAACTTTAACTAAAACCACAAAAAAAAAAACATTTCATTGCTTAAAATAAAATAAACTTTAACTGAAATAAAAATAAAACACACACTTTTAAAAAAAATTACATTTCAGCTAGTTGCCAAGACAAGTTTTCATGTTCAGTTTTCAGTTTAAGCTGAAGTACTACAATTACTAAAACTGATTAAACTAAAACATTACAACTATATATAAATATTTAAGAGATCAGAGGATCAGAGATTTGAATGTGGCTCAACAGAGGCTCAGAAAGCCAAATCTTCCATGCACAGCAAAGCCACAACTACATATTCACTATAGAAATTTACATGAATACGACATGATAAAATTCCCTCATATATTCACAGTTCCATGACAGTAGGAACCTCCAAATAGATTTGATGCACTTAAAGTTGCGACGTATGCTGAACTAATCCAATCATTTCATTACATCACCATAGAAGATCGACATTCTGACTAATAATTACAATTTAAAATGGAAAATAATTTAACATACATGGATAAATGGTTCACAATAAGACCTATAACGTGCATTTACAAAATAGATAGAATTTTCATTACATGACTTGAAGTGTTTTTATCGGAATGGGTGGTCTTTCAGTTTACACTTCACATGTTAAAAGTAAATAAAGTCAGTCATGATAAAAGAACCATTGTGTGACTTCATTTATTAGTTTAACTTGAAGACAAAGAAAGGAAACATACCACAGTGTGGTGGTTTGGCAATCTCAAAAAGGACCGTTCCCGTCTCCAGGTCTCTGATCTTAAACCGTGTAAAGTCAATGTTGTAGATGTTGTCCTCTGGTTTACACAGATAGTCTGTGAAGGGAAAATACATTATGTACTTCAATTAAAGGAACATAGGGAGGAACATAGTATACACTAGTAATACCTCAATAAGAGACTGGATTAGAGTAAACGCATGCAATCGATGCACTGAGAAAGCTATGTAGCAATACTCTTATACTGCTAAACATGATGCATGACTCAAAATGCTTAATTTGCTATGTTTAAAATAGTCATGAAGACAAAGTGCCCTCTGGAAACTCATTAAAATGTGTTGCATGGATTGGGCCTGTTACTATATAAAGTAAACAAACACATTAAGTCAGTGGATGCTGTAGCTCATCATAATACATGTACGTTACATTGCGAGCATCTGAAGAGATGCGAGATGAAGCAGGTATCAGAGTGGAGTCTCAGAGCTCTTACCGCGAGTGACTGCGCGGAGTCCCAAAACTTCATCCGGAGTGATGTCTCTCCCCAGCGCCCGCAGCTCTTCCTCCGTTACAGGTCGCCGGTCCACTTGACTTCGTCGCGATTTCAGCCTTTTCAGAACACCGCCTCCGGTTTTGCGGTCTCGGGGAGCCGCCGCCGTTGAATCCGAGCCGTTAACCGCGGCGGCTGCCGTTTCGTTGCGGGAGCTCTGACTGTTCATCTCTCCGAAATTTCACTTGGTAACTTGGTATAGCGGCGGAGCGCGAACTGCGTTTCTGCTGAGCTCGACGCTCGCTGAATGCAAGATGGCGTAGCGCGTCACTATGGAGAACCTACGCCGACAGGACAGCGATTTGATTGGTTGAACGCGTTCGAAAGTTGCTATGGTTACCATAATTTCGGTTTACAAAGGCCTTCCCATTAGCTTACGTCAGTTTATTTTCTTAATTAGTTAAACAGATTTTATGTTTACTTATTCTTTTGAACCAGTGCAGTTATTTCTTTACAATGTTTTAATGTTATTTTTTTTATTTAGCATCTTTACACTTCTCCCAATTTAATTTCGTGTTATATTTGAGTGCCTTCTTATTTTTAATATTTAAATAACAATTATCAATAATTACACCAATTGTTTTTTTATTTTGTCTCTTCTATATTGCTGATAAATTGATATATTTATACACACTCACACACACACAAACTACACTAATATATAAATATATATTTCCTTATTAATTTACTTTGAGTTTTCACTCATTCAATCATATATAATTATTTTATTTAATAATAAATATAAATCAATAATATTAACCTAAACTATGATTGTTAACAGAATCTTATATATGAAACAATGAAAAAGAGCTCATTAAAAATACCCTCAAAGCCAGTTAGATAAAATAGCACATTTATTAAAAAGAAACCGCATCAATTTGCAGTTCCCACTTCAGAGGCCTTCTCTAAAGACAGTGTGGGTGCTAACCGTTCCACTACTATTTCACCAGTTCCCAAGTTCTCTACAGTTCTGAGGGAAGAGGGGACAGGTAGCTGAACACGACTAACATTAACAGAGAAACTACATCCCTCGTAAACGCAGCAGTTAATGTGACATGGAGCAATACACATGAGCTCTTTATGAAGGAGGACACAATGAAAGGCCTCCATGTGGTCTTTGGCTATTGTCCAAAAGTTGTGTATTTGTGCAGGACAAACTAAACACAACTGGTTTTTCAGATGACAAAACAATGAAAAACTCAACAATCATGCAATAAATCAACATATACGGTGAAAAAAAAGATTAGAGCGCACAAAATGGTAAAGCACATGAGGATGTATTCAAATTTAAGGCAACAAGGAATCAAAATTACACAATGCATAACAAAAAGAAAAAAGAAAAATCACACAAACAAACAAAATGCTTTTAAAACAACACCAGGCAGTGCAATAATTCACACTAGTAAGACTCATCATAAAAAAAATAATTCAAAAGATCCTGAGGAAATAAAACAACTACTTCTGGAAAATAAAGTCTTTCAATATTTTTAAGATTCAACCCATTTCCTTTTGCTTAAATTACACAACATAAAAACCCAACTGTAAATTGACTAAACTCAATACGATCCGAGCTCTTTCTGACAAACGGTCAGTGTGTCAATGTGGCTGCAAATCAAATCACTGTCATTTCTAGACCACATCCACAACCAAAGCTATTTTCAAGGCCACTCCTCCTCTAGGCAAGATATTTAAAAACCCAGCCACCCCAATAGCAATAGCAATTACACAAACAAAAAAGAACAATATTCTAAAGAGAAAAATAACCGTATGGCACAACAAACCAAGTACCTTATATACACATGCACAGTGTAAAAGAAAATGACTTTGGCGACAATAAGCAATCCACTTTCTGCAACTCTGATAAATGAAAAAGGTGCCTCAATGTTTTTATGATTGTTTTCCATTTAAAAAAACAAAACAAAGAATAACGACAAACCAAGGCAAAACCTGCCCTCTCATCTGACTCCTTTGAGAAGGTAAAGGCCAAGATAAGTTTCTAAGTTCACACAAGAGACGGGGACAAACTGAGATGCAGCACTCACACGTCAGACAGCACAGTGGCATGAATACTCAATTGTGGTCTGATGTTTCAGCAGTGTGAGAGGTGGTCTCTTGATAGCACACTAAATCACATTTTAAGGCAGGCTTTCTTGAACGAAACAAAGTAGCAATTCAAAGAGCAAATAAAGGGGAAAAGAGAGGAAAAATACCAAGACAACAAATAGTATCACGGTTACAGAACATGCTGAGAAAAAGATGGATAAGGTGGAATGCAAATGTTCACTCAACTTATGCAATAACAAAAGTCCAAGCTAAACGACAGCACTGAAATTTGCCACCTTGAGTACAAAATTAACGCTTCTGCATCCATACTTCACAGTATATGGCAGGCATGTATCTGTCAAATGGTTTTTCAGCCAGACTACACCTTTCATTCTTCCACCACATGCATGCTGGTGGTACTGTGTGTAACACAAATCCAAGAATCTTTGGTGGTATTGTTAAAAACGGCCTGTATGGTTAAATCAAAAGGAAACATGGCAAAATGTCATGATAAAGAGCATCATGACTGAGCAACTATCCTTCTCTACACCAATAGGTGATCGAGCCCTTACAATGTTAATTAAGACGCCATTACTTAGATTAACCAATAGAATGCTATCCCAGACACATCGTGTACCAGTGAGAGTGGAGAATTTAAGGGTATTTGACACTTCAGTCCAATACAATCTTGTTTCTGGGACTCAAAGGCCAGTGTATTAAAGACCCTCTTTGTTAACTCATGTTCCCACCTAAACAGAAACAACTATGCGCTCTTTCAAAATATTTTTTTTTTAAATATAGAACACATGCAGACCAAAAAGTCCCAGTAAATGGGGGAAAAAATTATTTATATCTCCCTTGTACAGTTAGAGATTCAAAGACATGTTGCTGTGGTCTGTAAATACACGATTAAAGAATGAGAAAGCAAATTTGAATATTTATGCTTTTTAAACCAAAGAAAGAAATGAAAGAAGCTGCAGGAAATGAATGATAGTAGCTCGTATGAGTGTGAGGGAAATAAAACGTGAGGTTAATCGAAACCAAGGTCTCAAATCACTTAATACAACAAAAACACTTTATGATTTGCCACTGAGATTTAGATGCTTTAACCAAATGATCAAACTGGTTGTGAAAATTCATGTACCATTTCTGCCTCCCACAAGAGGCCAAAAAACAGCAGATCAATGCCAACGCTGATCAGAAAAATTCTCCATGCCAATAACTTCCCATGAGTTGGGACACGTGATCTAGGTGTGTCTCCAGCTCTTCCTCAGTATCTCCTGCTAGACCAGACAAACCAGGTTTGTGAAGTAGTTAGTCCTGCCGCAGATGTGTGTGTAAGTGCATTCAATCAGTACCTCTCGGATCTCCTCAAACTAAAATTGGTATTAAATGTGTACGAACACAAGCACAAACACACTCATAAAATGAACTCGCGCTCAAAATCCTTGTATTTTCCGGGTCACCCCTTTCAAAAACAAGCAATATCTGAAACCTCCTCGTTTCTGCATGTCTCTCGCCCAACTTTTGCTCTCTCTATCTGTTGTAACGTCAGTCTATATTTCTGCCTGCCCCCATGGCTGTGCGTCCCTCATTGCACCCCTCCCCCCAGCCCTCCACAGCCTGATGTCCGTCGCTTCTCCTCTCTCTCCTTCTCGTTCACTTGTTCCCCTCACAGGCGGCAGAGGCAGAAGAGGGTTGGGATGAAGACCCCGAATGCCACAAGTATAGGGAACATCAGGCTGCTGTTGTCAGTGGCGTACGGGTTGGGGGTGCGCGGCCCAGACCGAACCGGATTCTTGGGAGCGGTGGAGGTGCTCTTCTTTTCGCTTTCTCCCCCCTCTCCGTCATCCTCTTCCTCCTCCTCTTCCTCTCTCTTTTCCAGTCCAGGATGTGGCTGCAGCTTGGGCACATCTGAGAAACAAACCAAAGGCTTTTACTAGGAACAAGTGCAAAAAAATTTAATAGAAACAGCAGGATTGGACTTGATCGAGGACGCAACCCAACCAATCCCAGGGATCCCTCTTACCCTCTAGCTTGCCCTTCATCACATATAGTGCACATATCTTGGGGTTGTCATAGTAACCCTGTGGACACAAGAGATAGATAGATTAGGTTTCACTGCTTACAGTGGATGAACGCATGCAAACACATGGAGAAAATATGCAAATCGATTCTAGTGTATTCTGTGCGGCGGCTGGCCTGCAGGGTTTCTAACAGTGAATAAAAGGTTGAGGCATGCACAAGGTCAGTCCTGTGGCTCTCAGTGCCATTGGTTTTGGCTTCGAACCTCAAAAAAACCTCATAAAACCTTTTGTTTTATGCAACACTGCAGAGTTAGTGGTCAAACTATGCAGCCCAAGAACTTGCTAAACAATTCTGCCACAATTAGTCAAAGCAACGCATATCGCCTGGTGCAAAAGTGTCAAAGTGATTCATTTTAAGAATGAGATGTTTTATCCGGTGACTGACAGACAAGCTAATGCGCGTTGCATCCTCATATCCATTAATGTCATCCTCCCTGTCAATCTCTGGATTGCCGTCATGCTCAATGTGCACGGTTCCTCTGAGACTAATCGCTGACAGAAACCCCACAAGCCAAACATGTTTGCTGTTTACATAAGAAAAAGGAGCAGCTTTGAAATAATTAATTAAACTGCACTACTGGGAAAAAAAATAATAATAAAAAAACGCTCCAAGGGACCACAATTAGTTTTGACAGAATTCATCTTCTTGGAAATACTAAGCTTCAGTGCCTGTAACTATATAACTACATCACAATTTTAAATGAATGTTCCTTTAGCAAAAAGGAAAATAAACAAGTCTTATTAAATTGATTAGTGTCTGGTTTATTGAATAAAAGATGACTGCATAGCTATTGCTCAAAGAGGTATGTCCGCTTTTAGGGATTTTACTGTGCTGAAGCGGAAAGACTGCATTCTGATTTCTGATTTCAACACTGATAACAATCAGAAATGTTTCTTGAGCAGCTAATCAGCATATTAAAATTATTTCTAAAGGATCATGTGACACTGAAGACTGAAGTAATGGCTGCTTAATATATAACATTTTAAAATACATTCAATTAGAAAACACATTTTAAATTGTAATATCTCACAATATTACTGTTCTTGCTGTATTTTTTATCAAATAAATGCAGCCTTGGTAAGCATTAAAAGACTTCAAAACCTTCAAATCTCAGAGACTACAAACTTTTGAACAGCAGTGTACAATGTTTAGGCATAAGGCAATAGGAAAACAGGGTAACACTCACCTTAACAAACTCTGCTGTGAGTTTCCCATTAAAAGTGGAAACTTCACCATGCACACTTAGTTTTCCTCTTTTTATTGAGAATGGCACTATTTCATCATGAGCCGTGCTGTGACCCACACGGTCAAAGATATCCAGATCCTTCACCACAACGTGGCCATTTAAGCGTACATCAAAAACCTGAGAAAAGACAAGAAAAGAAAAAAGTAGAGAGAAAGAGATGATGTCATGAGGGAAAACTATGAAATAGAGACCATGGAGTATCATGAATGATTAAACATTACCATGTTCAAATATCGACTACTAAGAGTGACTGTGTACACTGCTGCTGTGAGCAAAATTCACACCTTTTGTTGAGACTGAGCAAAGTAAACCTCAGCATATTTCATGACCAGTATGTAGTCTCCTTCTTCTCTTATAGGTATTTCATAACCAAATGTATCCTCGTTGTATCGCTCTGTCTGGTAAAGAACCTGATCCTCCGGGCTGGAGCGCAGGATAGGAAGACGGATACCGTAGTCTGATGCTGGAGGGGGGCAAAAAAGTGCCAAAAGGTGAGTTTAAGTGTATATAGTACATGGCATTTGTGTTTCATAACATGCTGAGGAAATGTCAAACCAGAGCAAGGTTTTTACCTCATTTTCATTCCAATATCTATTTATAGCCGACATAGAGCTGAGCGGAAAATTAAGTACCACATTTATAATACTGGTCGTTTTCTTGACACTGATGCAATAATGTGAAATCTGACAAAACACATGGTGCTTGATGTCTTTACAGAGCTTTAGAAAGCACTATACAAGCCCTGACATGTGCATGCTGCATTTCTCATCTGACTCAGGAAGTGACAGTCATCACATTTCAAGTGACACAGACTTCCTGATATTATCGACAGCTCTAATAACAAACGACTAATGAGCCAGATGAGCTGACAACCAGTCCTTTTCTTCAAAATATAGTATGATTAACAGTCTTAATACAATATAAAATCATACTGTAATAAAACAAATACAGTGCAACCAAAATACCTTTAATATTTCTTAATTCTTACAAGGATAGTTGACTCAAATAACAATTCTGTCATCACCCATACTCACCCTCAAGTTTCCAAATCCACGTGATTTTCTTTGAATCAGAGGAACACAAAAGGCACCTCGGTCATCATTCACTTTTACCTTTTTCCATCTAATGAAAGTGAATGTGTTATGTTTATGCTTAACATCTGCTTTTGTGTTCCGCTGAAGAAAGAAAGCCATACAGGTTTGGAAATACCCTTGTGAAAAAGTACACTTTAGCATAATAAAAAAAAAAAATTTTTTTAAAAAGAGTACTTATTACAAAAATAATATACTTAAGTGTGAACTAACTGACACTTAATTGCATGTTATTTACAATCTATTATAGTTTAAATTTATATTAAATGCAATTAGTGCAATTTTTTGTCTGAAATATGATTAAAGTGAACAGGTGAATGTACTGACAAGCATTTATGGTAACTAAAATATACTTTAATGTTATTTCTATTGAAACTTGTATGTATCAGTGTCATCAGTTGTGTGTATGTGTGTGTAAAACATTTGTAATTACACATTTTAATAATGCAGTTGCAAATTAGTACATATAAAATATATTAATTTTAAATGTAATATCAAATAACATGGTAAAAATGTACTTTAAAGTGTTTTAAGTAATCTCTTGGAGTACACTTAAGTGGCCTTTTATTTTATTAATATTATATTATCTGCAAGTACAGTTTTTTTTATATATACTTCTAAGATATGAAGTACACTACAAGTGCACATTTATTACAATTAGGCACTCTTCTTTTTCACAAGACAATTGTGACAATTTTCATTTTTGGTTGAATTATCACTTTTAAAATGCAGAAATACTACTTTGAACTGTACTGAGTTTGAACTGTACCGACTATTTAGAAAAATTGCAAACCAACACAACAAGGCTTAAAAAAACACATCACAATACTGTTGCTTAAAATTTTCTTCCATCTTTACACACGACATGGACACTTGTTCATTCATTCTCCACCACCATTAACAACTGCCACCCCTTCTGGTGCAGACAACTAGGAAGGAAAAATAACACCCTCTCCTGCAATCTGTCACGTCCTCAAGTACTCACCTTTCCCCAGTTTTCCTTCCAGTGGATCTTTTCTATAGTAAATGCCGTGCACGTCTGTGTGTGCGTCCCCGCCGGCGTTAACAGCCCAGATGACTCGCTCGGCCAGACTCGGGGCCCCGGTCTCAGCGCGACACACTTCCACCAACAGCCACAAAGCTGCGAACACGAGCCGGGCAGCACAGCGCAATGTCACCCTCCTCATGGCCTGCAACAGTCCGCGACGAAAAGTGAAAGAGTAAAGAAAAGCGGTATGGCTATAAAACGACATAACACCGTGTTAAGCGCAGTGTGAAAGGCCATTTTAACCCTGGGTTAAACTTCAATGGAGTCAGCATTACTTTTAACCCTAGGTTAGCCTGGTAAACACCGAATTGTAGTACTAAAGGTGTATTGACTTAAATGTGCTAGAAAGTGACAGCACTTCGTTTAGCAACAAACAACCAATCACAAACTGCCTCGCAGCTCACCTCATTAAATATTCAAACACCTTGAACAGTTGTAGAAACGTTCACGCGCTGTTTAGTTGTAGAAAAATGTGAAATAACGACGACAAATGGAGTGATATACTATATTATTTGGGTTTGCATTTCTAGGTTTTTGTATGTGGCGAAATTAACAGATAAACTGACAGTTATTAAAAATTGGACGTACTCGTCCAATCGGTGTTACGTACATCATGAATATGCAAATAAGAAGGTTAACCCAGGATATAGAAATGTACAGTGTGAGATCTGAATACCCAGGATAATACCTAACCTAAGATGGAGAAAAGTGAATAGCGTGACAATTTGAAAAAGACAACCTAGGGTCTAGGATGGCCTTGTGTTAACAGTTTCATGTGTCAATAGCCCAAAGCAATGTCAGCCTGTATTTATGTCACTCTTACTGTGCAGTCTGCGAAATACTCTCTGTAGTGGACGGCCGGCTCCGTTCAGATGCTCGAGTTGCACGTTGTCGCTGAACCGTCCAGATCGCCGCACATTTACCTGCCTGGTAGTCGAGTTTAGCTCTGGCTGGTTAGCTGGCTAACTGACTTCCCTCTCGCTCTGTCATCAGTGTGGCAGCTGTAGTCTGCAGGTATATTCCCTCACATTTGCACCCGTGTGCTCGCTCTCGTTTCATAGACGATCACCGCGTGGTTATTCTGCGCTTGTATACTGCTCAGTTCAGATGTTTTGTGCGTCTGAAATCACAGCGGTTTCTGACTGGGAGGGCCGCGTCAGTACTGTGGGTATGTGTGCAGTCAGCAGCGCAGGTTGAAGGGATGGAACAGTAAGGAGAGACAGACTAACTTGATAGTCATGTTCCGGAGGGGGACTAAGATTAGCCAATCACGCAAAGCCAAATGCAGGTCCTGCTTGTTGATTTGCTTTTGAAAATAATCTATTTGTGAAGTCCGGCGAGCTCTGACCAATCACGATCGGTGGAAGTGCCCCGAAGCAGCGAATCAAGTGTATCAACTTTCACTCACTTCCTCGCATAAATTAGCTGGCTTCAGCTCATTGGTACTTGGTACATATGCAGCGAAAGGTGGGCGGAATTAGGCAGATAATAGGTAACAGATTTAGGTTTTAAAGGGGTCATATGATGCGATTTCATTTTTTCTTTTCTCTTTAGAGTGTTACAAGCTCTTGGTGCATAAAGAAGATCTGTAAAGTTGCAAAGACTAAAGTCTCAAATCCAAAGAGATATTCTTTATAAAAGTTAAGAGTTAGCCACACCTACCTAAAACGGCTCGTTCGAACACGCCCCCACATACCTACCTCACTATGTGGGAAGATTTGCATAACGCCACCCAAATGTTCACGCAAAGAAAGAAGGAGTAACTTTTATTCTCGCTGTAATATTGAAAAGTGAAAAGTGAAAAAGTGAAAAGTGACGTGACATGTGGCCAAGTATGGTGACCCATACTC